GTTTGGTGTGACGGGGATTCGAACCCGCGACCCGCAGATTGCGTGTCGAGTGCCCTAACCACCTGGCCATGCCGGGCCAGAAATTAAGTTAAGTATATTGTAAGTGCAATTCAATACTTGAATTTCATGAGTTAGAAAGAGTATTTTACATAGTGAAACTTTCTTTCATTTTAACTTGGAAATATTTTTCATTTATCATTTTATTTTATACTCTGGTTTAATTCACAAGGGGAAAAGGACACACTAGCAAAAGCGAACAAGTTTATACAAGAAGTATTTATCGTCTCTCCTGCTAGTTTTACAACTTTTTTAAGTACACAGGATCACTTGTCCGTTGTATTATTTATTGTGTATTGTGAGTATCATTATACATTTGTTATCTGTGTGAAATTATTTTTTTCTCATTCTACGTGATTTAACTGATGTAACTCGAAAAGAAATGCGCATCAAAACCCGAGACTAGGATTTCCAGTTGTTAGTAGGCCTAACTTCTCTGCTCTGCTAATTATCCAAAAGGTCGCAAAGTATCTTTAGCGTTATTTAGCAACATTAAGTTTTTAAACTTCGGTTAATCGGTACTATTTACTTAATTCAGGTAAGTGATTGTAATTTCCACACTTATGATTTTGTAACAATTTAAATTTCTCGTCTTCGGTACTTTATTAAACTTTACCTTAGTCAAAGTAAATAAACTAAAAAGTGGCATCTGGTTAGCTGTTATATACTAAAATGAAATAATAATATAGTAAAGCTTTTGGAGTATAATTTCATTTAAGGTAGTGAATTTGTTGATTCCAATTTATAACAGGATCGTGATACATATGTTGCAATTAGATATTCACAAATAACACTAATATTTTAATTGTCATATACAGTGTTGAATAGGCTATACGTATTTCAGGAAAATATAAATTTTGTTATCATTTATAGTGTTGCCCCCCAGTGGCACAGCGGTATGTCTGCGGACTTACAACGCTAGAAACCGGGTTTCGATACCAGTGGTAGTCAGAGCACAGATAGCCCTTGTGTAGCTTTGTGCATAATTAAAAACAAACAAACAAACATCATTTACAGTGTTGTTTACTATTGTTTGGTATACATTCACAAGCACAAAAGTAAATATATGTTTGGTGAAATTTTGATTGTATGAAAATGATTTATAAAATTTTTGCAGAAGATTAAATCTTTAAACAAGTGATATTTAGCAGTAACCCATTTTAAAACTGTTTTTTCAAGATGGCGACGTATTATCTCAAACCTGATGCAAGACGAAGTTGTTTGGTTTTAGCGCAAAGTTACACAATGGGTTATTTGCGCTCTGGTGACCACAGGAAAATAAAACTCCGCTTCTAGGGTTGTAAGTCCGGTTTTTTTGTAACTTTCTAGTTAACTTAAGCACAAAGGCACACAAGGGTTACAGTTTTAAAGTTATTGTTCGGTTTACTCGTACAGTTTAATGTTGTAGTCACAGAAGTAAATTTTGCATGTGATAATTTTTACAGTTAAATTCATTTTAATGCAAAGTATATGAATATTGTGAATGCACCAATTTGTTATTATCAAAAAATGGAGGCTGTGGACTAAACTATAGACGTATAGCTTTAATACTGTAAGGTTGAAATTTGAATATCGAATATTTTCAGTTTTATGAAAGGATCGATTGGTGGTTTTTTTAAGAGTAAAGCTATACAATGGGCTATCTGCGCTCTTGCCACAGCAGGGAATTGAACCTTGGATTTTAGCACTGTAAGTCTGGAGACGTACCGCAAACCTAGTTGTGGACTTATCAAAGGAGAGTGACCTAACGCATGGAGTTCGCTGTTTATAGTTTGTTAGACATAAAAAAATTTTCTTAAATGCATATGCATTAGCGAGGCAAAGAGGCTTTTTAGGCCTAACAAATGTGTTTAAGGTCACGACGCTTTACAGCAATCCTCTAATGCAAGCATAGGTGCGTGTGTGTGTGTACGCGCGCTAACAATTTTCATGCAGGCCTATAATAATGTACGGTGGCCTCACAATACAGAAACACTGTAGGCAGTGTAGGGAAAGCACTGGCATAAACCGAAATAAGTCTTATATAACTTTGTTGGGAATGGTGTTATTCAGCATACGTAAAATAAAAACAAAACAAGTACAGATAGTACAAAAATAAACCGACATGTTTATATTACTATGAGAGGAAGAAATGACATTTACTAGAGATTATATATATAATAATATTTTTATCTAATTTGACGGCAGCACGTGAGAGGATGAAAACAATGATACTGATGCGCAAACGACAACTAGGTACTCCTTGTCGGACACAGAGGGACGAGAGAGTCTTTGGGTCAATATAAATATATATATATAAAGTAAGGCCTATCTCGAGCACATTTCTTGTCGGCATTTTGATTCCTTTTCAACTGACCGTTTATTTTTATTATTTATTTGCTGTTTGACGCAGCACCAGTAATGACGCTTAAAAAAATAAAGCTCGAGAACGTGAATACAGATTTTTTTTCGATTCTTTACCCTTGCTTTCTGATTTTCTACATTTAGAATTTAACTACTTAAAAAAAAAATAAAAGCTATGATAGGCTGGCGAAGAGTGCATGAAAGAGTTTTTTGCTTGCTAGTTTGTGAGATGGAAACCCTCCCACCCTTCCAAGTGATGCCCTTGATAGTGTT